CCCCAAAACCCCAAAACCCCAAAACCCCTTACTCTCTAAATTAGAACTATTTTTCTTTGATATAATTAACGAAATTAAAATTTTTATTTAATGAGATCACTAATATAATCCTTCAAAATATTGTAGTGTGGAGTACTCTCTTATCAAATTTAGTAAGGGAATTTTCATTTTGCAAACTATTCAAATAAGAATTATTATACTTTGTCAAGCCAGCAGGTGATTTATTGCGATCATAAGTAAAACGGGATGCAGTCTATTTTAACTTGATTTTATTCTCTAATGATTCCTCAATTCGTTTAGCTTACTAAAGCTGCTTCTCTCTTGACTTCAATGCTCTCTGTTACTCGTAAAATTGCTATTCTCTTTACTTTCGAGCAGATTATATCTTTTACTCTCTAAATTAGTTAATCTTTTGCTTGATGTAATTATCCTAATAGAACTTGATAACATCATGCTAGTAAGTTTTTTAAGCTTTCATCTGTTCTTCAAAGTACTTTTATTCTTTGCGCATTTTTTTACGAGACTCCTTTACTGCAGAACTTAGTTGCTGATTTTCATGTATTTAAATATATTTGTTTTTTCTTATTGAGTTTTCAATTTGTATTTTCTATTTTCTATTCCTTTCTTATCTATCATAGAGCTCATTAACTTGCTACTTCTTTATACGCTATAGCTAAAAGCTTATCTCTAGCTATGGTAGTCCTAATTATTCTGCCTTTCTTTGGCTTTATTATGAATGTTCTCTTCTAGAAAGCCTTGCCTCCTCTAAAGTTAATTTTCGTATCCTGTTAATGACCTTATACATTTCATCTTCTGTACTATATTATAATCAGAATAAATCTAAAAATCTTACATTTATCGAGATCTCTTAATATCTTTGAGTGCTTTGTAACTATTATTTTTTGAATTAGGTGAGCTTTATGATAAAATATCTCCTCTATTACCCTTTTAGCTACTTTAGGGATATATTACATTTACCTATGTTGTGTAGAAATTAGAGGCTGAGTCATTATTTAGTTGAGTAGCATAAAGTGATTGTTTAATCTTGCTATAATTATTTTATGTATGCTAACGCTTCTTTACTCTATCTTTCTTGTCATTTCTTAAAGAATCTGCTCCTTTAATCTTAATCCCTGGATAGGTAATACCTGAGTCATTATTCAAAAGTAGTTTTGAGTTACTTTCTTTTTCTGGATTTTCTAAATTGATCTAATCGAAATTTCTTTCTATCTTATAAAGTTTATCGTCATCTGAATGATTATTATTTTCACTGCTAATTGAACTTTAGTTGACAAGACTTTGATCGTAAAATTTTTTTTTCCTTGGGGTACTTTTCTTTGATGATTTAGATCTTGATTTTGATAAATTAATGCTCTTTCTTATGCTTTCTTTGGTATTAACTCTTTGTGTTACAATTTTTGCAGACTCATTAATATGATTTTCATTTTGTTTGGAAGCATAGATTTAGCTGGCAGTAGAATCAGTATTTAACATATTTTTGCGATTATTATTTACTCTTTCAAACATAGTTATTGGGGTCTTGGCATGTCTTGCATCACTGCTAATCCCACCATTGTAAATATCTATCATATTTTTATTCCTAGAAATATGTTGTCTATCAAAGGCATCTCTACCACCTCCTCTTAGAGTAGAATAATTGAACTTTTACCTGAATTTTTGGGGTGCAGGTATCAGCTTACTTTTAATCTAAAGTTGTATTGTTCCTTCTTATTAAGTTTGATTTGGTTATGTCTATTATTATTGGAGGTAATTTTAAAGCATTGAGAAGTTTTAATGCTTCGTCTTTTTACCTGTTTATTGTGATTTTGGCTTGCTCTCTTCTTTAATGATCACTGGAATGAAATTTGTTTGATTCAATCTGCTATCCATTGTGGTGATTGATGATAAATTTTAACTTAATCCAATTAAATAAAATCTTAATTTTATGAGTATTTGGGGTTTTGGGGTTTTGGGG